CTTCAGATACCGGAAGGGTACTAGCCGGTAACTCATACGAGAGCCAACTCTCATCCATCATGTCCGAAACCGGTGGGGGTTTCTCAATACTTTGATATATTACCCCATGTGAATCGGGCTCTGGAATGGTGGGAGGGACCTCTTCAACGATGACAGTGGCCTCTTGAACGGTGGGGGGAATCTTGAGGGAGAATAGGGCCTCTTGAACGATTGGAGGGGACTCTTGAGGGATGACCGGTGAGTTGGGCTTCTTCTTGCGGAGTCTTCGCACCATTGGGGTGAACGGAGACGTAATAGCACGTCCACGCCGTCTGATGCGTGAACTCCGTCGTGCAAGGAAAACCCGACGTAAAGCATCCACCTTATCGGGCCGCTAAAAAAAATTAATACATAAATCAGTAAATAAACAGACATGATATTAAACAAAGACAAATATGTTTCAAACTAGCATTGTATTCACCCAAATCATTATTCTATCATAGTTCAAAAAATGCTCAGATAACATTCCAGAAGTAAGCACTTATATAAACATTTAAAAGGACAACATATATAAACATTCCAGAAGAAGAATAGTTTACTTTCGCAACACGAAACTTAAAATCGCAACGCGAAATGATTATCGCAACGCGGAAATGGCTATCGCAATGCGAAATGAAAATCGCAACGCGAAATGAAATCACAACGACAAAATCGCAACGCGAAACACAAATCGCATTGCGATTTTCATTTCGCGTTGCGATTTTGTCGTTGCGATTTCATTTCGCATTACGATTTTGTCGTTGCGCTTTTTATTTCACATTGCGATAGCCATTTCCGCGTTGCGATAGTCATTTTCGTGTTGCGAAAGTAAACTATTCTTCTTCTGCAAATTGAAACTTGAATGGATTGTATTACTTCAACCAAAAGACAAAAACAAAACCAAAAACAAATACTAACAAAAACAGTTTAGCAGTATTGGCAGCAACCGAATGAATTACGAGTATGAAAAATCTTAAACTTACCTCGTTGCGTAGAGTATGAACCTCATTCTGCAACGATGCTACCATCTCACGTAGAGCGGCTACCTCACCGCGTAATGTAGACACCTCAACACGCCATGCACCATCGTCTTTGCGTAAAGTACCGACCTCCTCACGCAAGGCATTGACCTCATCACATAACTCCCCTAACTCATCCCGTTGAGGTGGAGGTGGAGAACAGGGAGATAAACGTTGTGGCATCTTTGCCGGTCGCCTATCTTGCGGTGATGGTGGAGAAAAGGCTCGATGATGTGACAGATTAGGTGATGGCTGTCGTTGTGGAGGTGTATAGCCGGGTCGATCAGATGATGGCTCTGGGTGAGGTGATAGCTCTGGGCGAGGTGATGGCTCCCGAAGTGGAGGCTGCTCATCAACCGTTCCATCAAAAAAACGCTTACTAGCTTGCCACCAATCAGTGGCAAGCTCAGCTTCCGTGGGTGTCAGCCTCTGTAGAGGAGTGTTGGCCTCCTAACAATATAAAAGCTCAAACAAAGTTAAACGTGTACTAGTAATAACTTGTTTATAAACATATGGTAGTATTTATGTTAACTTACATTATTTATTGTCGTATACCGTAGTAAATCTTCCCATTGCAAGGTCCGTTTCCTCTTCCAGGAAATAGCCCTGGGAATATCATTTGAAGTTTTATTGCATATGTCTTCATGGCGGGAAAGGCCTCAAATATCCAATCTACAAACAATATATAACAAACATTAGTAATTGTTAAATAATTACTTATAATTTTGGAAACATCATATAAAAATTCTTACCTTAAAGGCCCAAATAAAGCCTGTCAAAGTATATTTGGAACCATCGCCATGCAAACTTTTTCGATCATCCAAGGCAGACGATAACTTATTCCATGTAGCTTTCCATAAATACGAGCCCCACGGAAACAGGTTCCCGCATTTAGGTCTTCTACCAATTTGATTAGATCATTTGGAATAGGTTGTCTGGCCTCTCTGCCTAAAAAGCCGGCATGCAAAAGAATTAGAAGGCATACTCAGACAACGTCGACGTCATCCATCCGAGTAAAACCATCTTTATTATTCAAAAATCTTGTCAGGTCTTCTATGTGTAGACTCGGCCTCTCCAGCTCAGGAAAAACCCGGGATAGCCATGATGGGCGGGTAATGTGTCTAGTGTACCGACCTACATCATCGTGTCCAAAGCGTAGACCGGTGATTAAGCAAAACTCCTCCCGCCCAAAACACGTATACGCCGGTGGAAAATCAAACCATATCTCTTCATCACGACGTTGTATAGTCTCTGGTAGATCGCTAGTCATGGTTTGAAGAAACAGGTGTGTCAACATCGCATCTCCACCGGGATGTTGTACTTTCAGCCATGGCCCGAAGCATGTATCATCAAACATTTTTCTTTGTGCAGGTGAAAGCTTCGACGCAATTGTTTTGGCCAGGTTGACTTTATTTCTCAAGGTCAATTGAGCCGAATAAAAGTTCTACAAAAACAATAAACATACTAAATTAGATATACCAAAAACTACACTGTGAAGATATACCAAAAACAATAATAAACATAAATAGTAGTAGTTTATTCTTCAAACTTAAATATGCAACACTGTGAATTTCGTATTTGTCTTTGTTTTTTGGTTGAAGTAATGCAATTCATTCAAGTTTCAATTTGCAGAAGAAGAATAGTTTCTGAAAATGAAAATCGCAACACGAAAATGAAAATCGCAACGCGAATTCGACTATCGCAACGAGAGAATCGCAACGCGAAACTAAAATCGCGTTGCGATTTGCATTTCACGTTGCGATTCTCGGTTGATTTAATAAGCAATCTAAGTGAAATGGTTAATCTATTATTGAAATTACCAGTAAACTTATCATCAATTTCAATATGAAAAACCTAATAATAATGCAAAAATTTCAAAAAGAAAATAATTAAAAAAACTAACCCTCGTTGGTTGATTTGGTTGATTTTCCATTTCTGATTGTGAGGGTGGCTCTGAGAGATGGAGATAGACGGATTTCGCCGGAGATGGGGATGGATTTCGTCGAAGATGGGTGAGAGAGTGAGAGATGGAGATGGGACTGAGTTGTGATTTTAGGTTTTAGGTTATGAGTTGCGATTACGGGATATACTGTGGACAGTTCAGTGTTCCAATATATTAATATTCGTGTTTGGAATTTAAAAATAAAATACTTGGCCAGGATACTAATGGCGCTTTGAAAATCGCATTGCGATTATGTATTATCGCGTTGCGAAAGTCAGAATCGCGTTGCGAAAGTCAGTATCGCGTTGCGAAAGTAAGTATCTCGTTGTGATTTTTTATTATCGCATTGCGATAGTCAGTATTGCATTGCGATTTTCCCAATTCGCGTTGCGATTTACTTATTCGCATTACGATTTTCCCAATTCGCGTTGCGATTTACTTATTCGCATTGCGAATTGGGAAAATCGCAACGATACTGTAGACCATCGCAATGCGATTTTCAACTATCGCATTGCGAAAATGCAACGCGAATTTGCGATAATGGAGATCGCGTTGCGAATTAGCGATCGCATTGCGATTTTGTTGGTCATTTTGGCAAATCCGGAAAAAGTTGGTTAAAATCGTATATTATATGGGATTTTTGGTCACTGAGGTTATTTTCTCTTTTTCAAAATACCAAATGATAACCATGAAGGCAGGTATTGGGTATTCAAACCCCAAAATTTATGAGTTAATTAAAACCCAAAACCCTATATTTTTAAAGAGTTTCCAAATAGACTAGTAAACTTACCAATACTTCAATTTAACCCAATTTTTGGGTGTTACAATGCAATATTTATTATTAGTGGTGGATTTAGAGTTGATATAAATATCATGGCTTTAATATTCCGTTATTCAAATTTATATTTGTTATGCAAGTAAGAGATTTTAATATTTAAAAATAATATCTAAAATTGTCTATTGTCACGGTAATGAAATTGATTATAGGATGGGTATGGGTAGGTTTAGGTTGGATTTTTGACCCATTTGAATTTTATTTGATATCATATTTCTTTATTCGTTATATAACTTGATTTGGATTTAGTGAAGTTTTATCTGATTTGAAATTTAATCAGTTTTATAGGATAAAAATTTATATCTGACCTAATTCTATACCATATTAATTTCATTTTTATTACATAAAATCAAGATCTAATTGCAAAAAAATAGAATGTGTAATATTATAATTATTTCTAAATATTAAAAGGATGATTTTTTTTTTGTATAACCACTGGTTTTCAATCTATTGATCGACTAATCCGTATCATGTACTGCAGAGGTAAGTGTGACCCTCCCAACCCATTTTACTCCATTTGTAATATTTTTACTATAAATATAAACTCGGCCGAACTTGATTGCATCCTTAGAAAAACACAATTAGAATTCGAATTAAAAAAGACTTTGTTGGATCGAGTCAAATCAAAACATTTTGAATTCAGATCAAATATTCATCCCTAAAATTAAATATTTAAATTTGTATTTATTATCTGTTTATTTTATAAAATAAATATAATTATCAAATTTGTATATTGTTTAATATAAATGATAAATTGATCAAAATTTGTTATTACTATATAAAACAATGTCAAAAAAGGATAAATATCTTTTTATATTTAACCTTAGCATCTGCATATAATATACTGTTTAACTTTTCATGTAATTAGATATGTATTTATTTGCGTAATTAGATATCTAACATTTTTTAAATAATACAAATTTAATTTTAATTAGTTCATATTTATAATTTAAGCTTCATTAAAAATAGTATGGGTTACAAATGTAAAAATTAAATGCTAACATTCTATTTTAAAACTAGGCTCGTGTCTTGTTCTTTTAAATAATGTTTTAACAGTTTTTTTTAATACCAAATATTCGATTCGTTACGTATAATGGTATAATGGATGGTTCTAAATTATTGCCCAGATTAATTTGATTGGGCCTTAACTGGTTGGCTCATTAACTAACTTCACCTTCTCATTCATGTCTTCATTCTCAAGAAAAACTAGGGTTTTAGCAGAAAAACCAGTTCTTCAACGGAGAAAAAGAGAGAGAAAGAAAAAAATGGCGACGAAATCCCTGATTAGAAACGGGGTTCTGTTGATGAATCGAGTGTTCGCGAATCAATTTCTCAACTCGAACCCGATTATAAACAATCGGGTCGTGAATCAAGGCTTGCAAATCACTCCCCAGCTATTCCCATCTCTCTCGAAGACTAAACCCTCTCTCCATTTGACTCAAAACGACGCTGATTCTCTCTCTCAAGTCTCTTCTATGGGGTTTCTTTATCCCACTGGCCTCCCCTCTCTCCGCTTCCTCTTGCCCGATGATACTCTTTCTAACTATGCATTTGATTGCTTTGAAATGAAGTGGGAAAATTGTAATTTTCACAACTTTCAATCATGGGTTTTTATTTTTTTATTTCTGTTTTTTAATCACTTACTGTGTTTTAGCTGATTTCCATTTAATTCCAGTGTTGGTCAGTTTTAGTTTATATCGTGGAAACTCATTGTTCATTCTTTTCATATGGTGCATTTTCATCAAGGTTTGCTTGAAATTTACTTTGATTAAAATCTGAGTCTTTAATGCTGCTTGATAAATCGTTATACACTTTGACTGCTTTATTGTTTTTGTTTGCTTTATTGTTTTTGTTTGCTTGCATTACAGTATGCATTTCTTATTATTGTTCCGGAGATTCATCAAGTGAGCCAATGCTCTGTTTCCCCAAGAGAACATATCAGCCTAGTACCATCTGGCGCAAAAGAAATCATGGATTTTTCGCTCGGTAATGTTTCCTTCTCTCAACCTTAATCATTAACTTATGGCATGTTGAGAATCACTGTATCGATAGAGTAGTTGATACTTTTGTTTGAAATATAGTTTGAGTTGGAAAAACTGAATCATGGATATTTTGCTCGGTAATTTTGCTCAGGAACGTGCCTCTTAATTCGAATCATTAACTTTTGACATGAAATTCATGGAACCTGTATAGTGGTTGATGCTTTTGTTTGAACTATAGTTTGATTTGTAAAATCTGAATCTTGGATATTGAGCTCGGAACATTTCCTTCTTCTCTTATTGCTCGGGAACATGTCCTGCTCTTAACTCGAATCATTAACCCTTGGCGTGTTTGAAATTCATCTAACCATAAAATATAGTAGTTGATGCTTGTTTGAACTATAGTTTGATTTGTAAAACCTGAATATAGGTTATTTAGCTCGGAACAGTTCCTTCTCTTGTTGTGAATTACTAATTTTTGGCATGTCGAAATTCACAGTATCAGTATAGTAGTTAATGATTTCGTTTGACCTTCAATAACCCTTCTTCAAGAAGGTTCCCTCTTCTACATGATGAAAAGCCGCTTTTTTGGCTTTGTTTTCTCACTAACTCTAGTGTTTAGACTTGTATAATTACTATTTCGTACTTGTACAGCAAGGCAACAAAGGGTGGCAGAAGACTCATCACTCGAAGAATAGCAAAGGGTCGTTCAAGAATTACTGCTTAAAATCTGGGTTTGCTTAATTCCATTGACTCTATCTTTTCTTTTTTTCAGATAGATGTATGCCAACTATTAGATTGTCTTTTCGGTGCACAAACACTTGCAAGTTTCTAGTAAGTTCTGAAAATGCTTGTCGTTTGTTATTTATAATGTAGCTGCACTTTGATTGATCGGGTGTCCGGCTACATAGAACAATTCAAAGTTTGAGTTCGATTCCGGTTTCAAGATTCTGTTAGGAGGAATAAAGAGAGATTCTTTTCCATTATGTAGTTTTTTTGTACAATACATTTTTCTTTGAGTATTCATGTCCGATGTCTCTTTCGACATGAGTACGAGTTGAATGGGCATCTAAAGTGTTTACACCTTACCTATCCGACTTTTGAGGATAAAATGGTGAGGTTCAATGGATCCGCCTATTGATGATAAAATTGTGAGGCCGAATAGTGAGGCTGAATGAAGTTAGTTCATGCAACTACCCTTGAAAAAATGGCATTTAAGACGTCTGGGTTTGTTTTCAGCATCAGCAGGTCTTCTACTGGGGGAAACGCAGTCGTTGGCTAACAACATCGAACGCGGTCAGACCAATTGCTAGTGATGGAACAACCTGCAACGGGGTTAAGATTATGTCTTGCAGATCATGTCAAAGAACTTAACAAAGGGTGATGGATATATTGAAAACACCTTTATATAGTTAATGCATAAACCTGCATACAATTGTCTCCATCCTTGATCATGGACAATGGATTTAAAAGTTTCAATGCTGTTTTTGTATCTTATACCATTCTGGTTCCGAATGTCAACCTGTAATATAAACAGCTTTGAATAGGAAGCTCGAAGATGAATCTAGTTTAAACAAGTAAGCCTGGTTTAACATCGAGACTATCGATGTTTGGTGGAAGCTCATACTGTTTTCGAAGTCTGAGGCTTCAATGAAGGCAAAGAGACTGGTCTGAGGATGCAGTTTTCTGATGCTTCCACATAAGGTTCTCATAGTCCGGTTTATCGTTGAGACTATCGATGTTTGATAACATGGACTAGGTTGGACTGGATTCATGTTTGGCTTAATAATGAATCAAAACTATACATGACCTATACATGACCTATCTAACCCGGAATACGAGTCTATGCATGTTTGGCTTGGGAAGATAATCCGGTCCTTGGACAAGCCTATAACAAGAAAAATCAGACACGAAATTTACCTGCATTTGTCTCCGAACAACATCCAATGGATATATTATAGTTTGTCCAACCAAGCCAGCCAATGCTCCGCACGAAAGATTCAATGCCATGGAGCTTTGATCTTCTTTGGGAACCCATTTTTTGAGCTCCTCATTAGAATAGAACTTTAGAACATTGTAAGGAAGGATTCCCCCTAGTGTAGGACCTGATGTTTAGAACACAAGTGATTATTGACTCAAATTCTCAATGTGATCTTTGTTCAACATTTCTTATTTGTGAGAAGAGAAGCCTAGCATACCTACACCTCGATAGAACCCGGACATTCCGCCTTGTTTATAGACCGCCTTGAATACGTCTCTTATCCTTCGATGTGCAGGAAGACCAGAATGGGTACATCTATGACTGTCACCAAGATTTTGGCGTCGGTTCACCACCTTAAAAACAGAGAACGAGAGAATTAGCTGCACCACAATGTTGAAAAAAGGGTTTTTACCCGAGAAGTTTGCATTACCTGATATGCATACTTGGTTCGAGCCAAATCCAAGGGATAAGTGCACAAAAATGCTGTTGCACTAGCTGCAGAGCCAGCTAGAATGTCCAGCAATGGCCCTTGACCAACACATGGCCATTTGTATAGCAGGAAACCTCGGTATTGTTCATATGTCATGTAATGGAATATCGAATGCGGTAACATCCGGACAACGCAAACACCGTTTGCTCTGCGAAGAAACGATTCAGTATGCATCTGTGTGTATGCATGCATGCCTTTATTAGTGCGGGAAACTGCGATATAGTTCATGTCTTGTAATGATATATCGAATGGGGTGACATCCGACTGATACAAACACCATTTGCTCGGCCACTACATGGACGTATATCATGTATGCATGTGAATGTATGCATGCATGCATGCATGTATGATGTTTCAACGAGAAATACTTGAATTTCATTAGTGAACTTACTTGTATAGCCCCTTAAAACCTTCATTCTTCATTACCTTCTTCAATGATCCATACACTCCAACTGAATGAAACCCTTCTGCCCTTGTCTATCAGTTCAATCAATAGAAACAATCATAAAAACTCTATAAATTTGCAATGAAAACATAGTCAACCGCAGGTATAACGAATCAAATGATAAAGATTAATCTCTATTATCCAGACACTTCGATTTCTTTAAATTATTCGAGTCCAACACTTATTTAAACATGAATATGATTCTTTAAACATCGTATTCAACACTTGTGTCTAAGTAACATATATGAATCAATTATCCCATGAAAACTATGAATCAATAAATGTACAAATTAAATATCATTTAATTTTGATAGATGTATAAACTAAAATTGGTGAATTTAAACATGGGAAAATGCGAACATCAACGTTTGCTCCGAATCTGAATAACAGAGATATAAATCAATTATATCAAAAAATTTATATATCATTTGATCCAGATAAAGCTTGAAATAAACACGAATACGGGGTGTGTAAACAGAAACATGTAAGATGTAATAACAATTAGAATCCTTTGAATTAACGATCCATCTAAAACCAGATGAAAGAAACAAAGAAATCAAACCTGCAAAAGAATCTTGATTCGCTCCAATGGTGCAACTGTGGTTTTTGAAACGGTTGTGGAAGCACCGGCAGCGATCAATTCCATGAAATAAAAGGGCAAAGAATGAACAATTTGAACGTGTTCATCTTCGTAAGATTCATCGTCAATGGAAGAACCAAATTCATAGCTTTCACTGCCCATTCCAACTCCACCCGCTCAAAAAAAAAAAAGTTAGAAATAAAACCAGTTACATACCGAACAATTTGGGAAGCTTTGTCTTATTTAATATGATAAGACAATGGCACCAGACCGGTCCTTGAGCATCCATGTTCGACTCTCATCGGTTTTATTCTGGTCTAAATTTCTGTTATTAGTCTGATTGTTATTTATACTTCTATTTAAATCAAATGTATTTTTTATAGAAGCTGCTAATTTTGTTAAAAGAAAAATATATTTAAAAATACAATAAATGTTTACGTAAATTAAATATATAATTAGTACATTTTTCTATAATTTTTAACACAAAAACTAACCACTTAATGTAACACAAAAATCATACAAGAAAAATGTTAAAAACTTTTAAAAAAAACTCGAACAAGTATTTCTATAATTATTGTAGTTTAATTATGCATATATTTCGATTATCAGTCTGATTGTATTTTAGAACATTTAATTTTGACTATAGTTTATATATATATATGTAAACAAGTATGTAGAATGAGAATCAAGTTCATAAATTATTATTAGGATTATTTTTAAATAAATTACACCCGTTACCATTTAATTATGAGTAGAATCTAGTTTGATCTCCTTCTTTTGATTTTGTTAATTTCGATTATAGTTTATTAATATTTATGCAAACAAATATGTAGAATTAGAATCAAATTCATGAATTATTATTATTTTTTGATAAATTACATCCGTTACCATTTAATTATGAGGAGAATCTAATTTGATCATCCTTCTTTTGATTTTGTTAATTAGATCACATAAATATTTAAATAATGTCAATTAAGTCACATGTTGTTAACATTTGATGAATGAGTTGACTTGGAAGCTATCAAAATTATTGTAATTACATATTTAGTATTTATTACTTACACATTCAAGCAATTTGGTCCTAATTTTGTTAACCGTCACGTTAGCTTCTTTTTCAAATGAAGACTGAATTGATAAAATATGTAAATAATGAGGACTAAATGTGTAACTATATTACTTCTATTAACTATCACGTTAACTCCTCTATCATATGTTAATGGCAAGTGACTTGATTGACATAGTTTAAATAGTTAAGTAATCTAGTTGATAATATTAAAAGAACAAAAATCTTATTAAAACTCCATAATTAATTCATCACGAATATAGTTTTCCCTTTTTAAATTGTTGAATGGGTTCTCTTATTCATTGTCCATTGTTTTAGCCAAAAACTTTGACCAAACTTTTGGATATCTCTGGAAAATAATAACATGAAACTCTCTATTTCTAATTACTATTTTAGTCATCCAAAAATGTTTTTTAATGAATATAAACAAAAAAATTGTATTGAATTGCCCTAAAAAATTTCCTTCACGTTAACTTATAAGAAAAACTAAAAACCCTAATAAGTGCAATTTTTTCATCATCCAAACATGTTCGCCATCTTTTCATAATCATATTTTGGTTTGTTCTTCAATGTGAAATTCTTGTTTATTCCAGGGGTTATTGTTGCAGTAATTTGAAGGAATGACTCGGGACATACTTCAGTGTATTATCTCTTAAATTATTTTCAAGTGGTTTGTAAAAAATAGTGAAGTTTAAAAATATTGTTTAATGTTTATATTAGTTATCCAGATGATTTTATTCTCAACTACTTCCCATATCATGTCAAATACATATTCATATTTGTATCGCTTTTTTTTTTGATAATCTAGAGTTATTATAATATGTAGAATTTATTCGTAATATTCCTTAACAATTGACACATGCTTGCAAATGCAGCTTCATGACCTCTAGGAAGAATATTCACTTTAACCACTGGTACCGCTTGTAGTGTTACAACTTCATGTGGTGATGTTCATGTTACAATAGCAACCTATGTTACCCGGACTCCATATTTTCACACAAAAAAATGTGTATCTAAATCAATGTCCGACACATTCGGACAAATTAAAAAAAGTCAGTAATGTCCAAATCTATTTAAATCTATATCCAACACTCGTATCTAAGTCCGGGCAACATAAGTTAGATTAGTATTGATAAACCTGGACACCAAATTATTATATGCTAAGCACTAAATGAGCTTTCCTATAAAAGAAATGTACTCTCAGGGTTGGCAAAGAAATGCTCCCGGTAAATTAGTTCGCATTTGGTCGAATTACCGCCGATCATCGTTCCTAAAATTGCCGGGACTCCGGTACGTTTACTTTGATGCTTCTTCTTGACAATAAGATGTCCGCCCCGAACCATCAACCTTAATAATTTCTTAAGGGGCTGTTTAAGAAATGTAAAGGTAAATCCATTAGGAAATTATAATAAGCAAAAGCAAGGAAAAGTAAGGTTTTCAACTATATTTCTAAAACTTTTTTATTTTTATCTTTTTCATTTCTAGTGTTCAACATGCTCATATCACCATCTTCGTATTCGGATATGTGTCAGATGGATTCTCATACCCGACACCAACACTTGAGTCTGAGTTACATATGTTTTTAGTTTGAAAATTTAGTAATGGGAAAATTATAATCCCATTTAAATCATCAACACTAAAGCTATTACAAGAAGAATCCTACGTTGTTTCGACTCTCCATTTTTAAAATAATTCTCTTGTGGAGTATCAATGTTCGAAGTATAGGCTGGAATATGACTAGGACTCTCTTATTCATGGAAACCTTGAAAAAAATTAAACGTACCCGTGTCCGACACTCATGCCTAACATAGTTAACATTATATGCTAGCATCTAGAGAAACAAGGAGTTATGAGCTAGATACTTGCAATAAACTTATTATGTCTATGGCATGAGTTTAACAAAATAAGCAGAGGTTTAGGCATGTTCTGATAATCAACCGAATTGCATTCTTACCTGGGAATTTATCATTGGAAAGTCCATTTTGCGAATAATATCACCCTGCACAAACAGTGAGTAGAAACAATAAGAACATGAGAAAATGTGTAGACTCCCAACTTTGTAGCTGCACATAACTTATTCGAATCTAAATTACCAGAATCCTTCATTGTTCTTAAAGTGCTTGTGTTCGACACCAGTGTCCAAAGGGAAAATAGGGAAAATATTGACCTACTTATGACAGACAAACTTTAACCAATACTCGCCTCCAAGTTTGGGTAACATAGGTCTTAATCAGTCGAACATCAGGTTAGATACCAACAAAAAAATATGCTATCATTTATCAATCGCCTCAAATTTCCATGTCACACTAATCAGAAACTGAAAACGGAAGATTCGTGAACACATATAGAACACTCGCTTAACTGATATCTACATGAACTTCCCAACGCAAACATATATTATATGAATAACAGAAATATTACCAATTAAATTGGGAGGGGAGACATAGATATCCATGATTGTTTAACAGCTTCCGTTGGGTAAAGCATAGATTCATATTTTGTAAACTAATTTATTCTTTTTCAGGGATTTAATGAAGTAGACCAAACCCAATGCCCATTCTTTTGCACTTATTTTTTTCTCATGCACAAAAAGTAAGCAATAATACAATTAAAATGAAATTAAAAGCAAATATAAGAATCGTGTACCTCCAGTATTCCTGGATTTTGCATCACAATACGAAAAGCCCGAGTAATTATTCTCTTATGCATTTTCCTCTTGCTGTTGCCTTGCATAGTCGATCAGGCGATGAAACGAAATGAACCATAAAAAATGACCTGTATAACCATTTGTTAGGACAATATTTGACCCGTTAGGTTGTAAGCAAGCACCAATCATAGAGATTCAAACTTCCACTGTTCAACTATAAACGAGACCATATATTTGTGAATCTACGAAGAAGTTAGAGATAGCATAACAAGTCTCCTTTCCCTTGTTTATGAATAAATGTCCTAATTCTTGCAACGGGTTTGTAAATACGAGACACAACATGGTTAACTGGAATTATCCAGGACAAGCAGACATCAAATAGATATCAGAATGGAAGATGTCCCATAAGGAAACAAGAAAGATAAATCCCCCAGACCTTCTACTTTGCACTTTCACCACAATGTGTTATACTCAAGTATTTGTTAGTGCAATATTTTTTCTTCTTTTCTAAATTTCATAAAGAAGTGCGGTCAAATGACAGAATCAAACTACCTTTTCTGCTTGTCCAAACTTTTGCAGAACATCAATGACAAGTTCAGCCATTTTTTCTCCTGAAAATATCAAGAAATAAATACCGGGATAATGTATGTATGGCTTTTCTACAATAGGAAAGAAATGCATGTTTAAATATGACCATCCTAGTAAAAGTTAAGCATGGATACCTAATGTATTCATAAATTTGGAAACTTCTGCAATGGTCAAACCTTGATCGCCAGCCTTCTGGATGGCAGTGTAGACAGATTTAAAGGCCTCCTCAGACAAGCTACCAACATATTCTTGACTGGTAGTTAATGGCATCAAATGTGCAGCATGATCAACCATCAGTTCCCAAAGTGACTTGCAAGAATCCCCAGGTGTCGGGACAGTGTGCTCGAAATTGAGATTTTCCTTAACAATTTCAGAATGTGATGAAATGCTGCCAACTTCAAGAGTTCCAGAATTACTGCCTACATAATACCCATCAATAAAATGTTCATCACCAAAATTCTCCCCGTTCTTGAATGATGATTCTAGAGAAACAGCTCTTGGCACTGATGCTCTATGCACAGATAACTTGATACCTGGAAAACCTTTTTCACGCCGATTATCAATGGAAGAGTCATCAATAAAATGGGCAGATAAGCCTTTGACAAATTCAACTTCTCCAACACCTTCAACTGGAATAGAAGGAGAAATGAACAGTTCACCCGAATAAATCAAGGCAAACAAATGAAAAGTTTCTCCACACTTTAAATCTACTGTGAGATCAAGTCCTCCTCTCCTAAATTTTTTTTCATGTTCAACAAGCCACCTAGAAAATTTAGCAGCGTTACTGCCAGTGTTTAACGGAAATTGATAGTCACAGACATTTGCATTTCTTGGGGCCTCCAGTAAAGGCTCCTGCCTGCTCCGAAGAACCTCTTCCAAGGAAAAATTAATCTTTTCCTCACTAAAACTATCAAAGTCTAGGCAACCTATGCTTTTATTGCATTCGATGCCTTCAAACAAACTTCTCTTAGCACCTGTCCCTGATGAACCAGGCATGATTGATCCACAATTATCGTCATCCATTGATCTCTTCTCCATTTGTTCCAGCTGCTTCTCATGTTGTTTGCTAAGCATATTACAAAGACTCCTAAAAGATTCCTTGAATCTTCTATTTTGCTTTAGGAATTTTTTTCTTCTGTAACAAGCATTTGGATGTGCTGGAAGGTTACCGAATGAGAGCCTGCATTCCTCAGTTAAGTTTGCTCCGAGGCCCACAATGTTTTTCACATATTGGATTACCAATTGCCTTAAAGAAAAAAAATATTCATATATGCAAAATGAAGCAATTAGTAAATATACATAATGGGGAAAAAAGAAAACGGGAAAAAAGACATTTTTCTATTTTTAAAACTAGTAAAAACATTTTTCAGCTAGGGTAGATAGACAAGTAACCTGCTGCATACAAGTAACTATTGTTCACATGCAAAATATACATGCAAACTTCACAAAAATTCCCCATAAGGCCATTTTCACAGAATATTTCATGCTAACTTCATTGGAAACATGGAACTTAAGTAATTCATTTTCCTTACCTGTCTGCGTCATCTGTCCACTGGAACCTTTTTGGGCGTACTGAATTCAACTTGGAAAAGGCCGAATGGTTAGTAGATGAATGATACTTGTCTCCATTTACTCCAAACCTTTCAGAATCCTTCCAATGATCTTCCTCTTGTTGTCCTTGCAACTGACTTTCATGCTTCTGAGGAGAGGATAACATTTTGTTTTCTCCTCCTATAAAATCTTTACCACTTCCAGCTGAACTAGGAATTTTTTTCTGAGAAAATGACCCAGTTTCATTGCCAACTTTTCTACGGTTTAAAACTTTAGATCTTGCAGATCTTTTCCTTTTTTGAGAAAGGAACTAATGACCATCGGATCGGATTCGGTCTCCAGTTCATTTACAATTTTATTTCTTTGACGACGTCGCAGCTTAGAATTATATACACAAAGCACCTGCAACATTTCAAGGGAGATATTTTAAACAATAAAACAGCGAAGGAACTCTTTTACAGTTTTTCATTTAAATATGAACATTCGTTTCATCAAATTAATAAAAACCATTGAGCAAAGAAATTCAAGATCTCAAGTTTTGGTCCAGACTCCAGAAAATTTCTAAGAAAAAGAAGGGGGGATATCTTATGGAAACTAGGGCATGATCTAACCTGCAGCATGGTGAGATTTAGGTTCTTTGCAATCTCCTTACATTTTTTGTATGGAAGTTTTTCATTGCATTTGGTCTTGGCTAGAAGTTTCAGTAGAGCATTGCATGCTGACCAACAGTCATTCTTCGAACAGAGGTCCATGATCTGTATCCAAAAATCTGGAAAAAAATCCAATTACCATCATCGCTGGGATAATAACAAGCAAAAAAAATCTTGGAATTAACAGATAAAAGAAAAAAACATAATGGATAAGATATAGAATACTTCTATTTCCTCATTGAGCATTTTCTCATTTGAAAATTCTTGAAAGACACCAATTTGCACATAGTGCAAGAATAAAATGCATGCATACCTCATGAACAGTATACCCTGGTAATGCATGCGAACCAACTTTTGGATCAACCCTAGCATAAGTATATTCCAAAAATTGCCAGTATTCATCAACGTCATCTCTGTTTGAGAGGATAAACTCATGTCTGACAATCTCCTGTTCTGGGCCAAGATCAAGAAACCCAGAATTTGAATGTGTTGCAACCAATAATGGTTCCTCTATATAAGGCTTAAGCTCCAGGGCATAAACAGGACTGGCATGTGACAAATTGACTTCAGCATCAGAACTTCCTCTAGTTACTAGCCGAATCAACTACGTAAAAGTATCAAAGTTTGGGATTTGATACTAGGAATATATAAGATAAAAAGCATATAAAGCGTAGATTGAAAAAGAATTCAGAAACAAATGATCATTTGTGCTTTCAAATACAAGAAAAGTAAATAACATCAACATACATAATCATCTTAAGATTGATGTTAACTATTTAGTTCTGTTCTCTCATGATTCAGGGTAAGCAATATAGTTTTGATGGTTCATGTTATCTTAGGGTCCTGATAATCAGATGAAAAGCCATCAGCTACAAAGAAAGGATTCTCTTAGAAGAAGGAAATAAAAAAAAAAGAGAGGAAGAGGCATCTCAAATTCTTTCATTGGCGAACCAATCAGGCATATAATTACTTAAACACTGTTTAAGAGATCGGATGGTACCTACACCAAGGCAATTGTATCACATTCATATATTCAGAAAACTGAACCAACCCAGGTCAATTGATATGATACATGAAAAATAGAAAGAAAATATTAAATTTACTTTCAAATGTGAGCACGAGGTTGTACCTTCAGCCTCTGTAAAATAGTTACAATTGAAGACAGTCTCCTAATTGCCGAAGCATCATTTAGATCATTATACTCTTGAATAGAAAGATCACATAAACACACTCCCTTCTTAAACTTCTCTCTCATGTTGTCAACTTTAACAGTAGAACCCACAACTTGAAGAAATAGCTCAAGTGGAATTTCCTTGGTGGCTCCTTCCATATCAAACAGATTATGAATGATATAAGGTTTCTGTAGATCATTATCTTGTCTCCCATCTGATAAAACATCACCCCTAGCAGATAAACCACGTGCATAGTCCCAGAGATAACTATGCAACAGCCTTGCTTTTACCATTTTTCCAAATATGAATCCATTAGCACGCATGGCTTCCGTCCTAAGAGAGAGGGAATTCGAACTATCATAAATTTGTGTTATTTGAACACAATCCAATAGACGGACTGGGTTATTGTTCCTCTTCCTGAATGAGGTCTTCCCATGAGCAAGCTTTCTAGAAGACTTGATTCTAGCACGAATTACACCAATTACTTCAGAAGATAAACTTTGAATAGATGGGTACAGTACCACCTTGACTTTGCGGTTAACAAAAGTATCCATAATCTCATGTATATCTAGGTCTATATATTTGCATTGCCCTTCATTTGCAAGCTTCTGCAATATTTTGTCTACAGTTTTCCTGTCCATTGTTGTGCCTTTGTCTTTCTCGAGATTCACAAGAAACCTATATAGCTCTGTTCTCAAGACAATCTTTTCAACCTGCATCGGTTTACCCACAAACACACAGAGGAATGGTAGTTAATTAGTAACCAAATAAAAAGGGGGGGGGGGGAAGCCTTAATTTACTTCAAGTGGAAGAGGAAAAGACCTGCAATAGTTCAAGTATTCTCTGCCCTCTCCGGGCGCTATCAACTGTCGAAGACTGACAAGCTTTAAGCATCAATGTTGCAGTCTTCACAGAATGAACTGTTCTGTTTGGAGACACTGCTCTTGTTTCATGGATCAACTCTTGTGGCTTGCACATATTGGAGATACTATTACTTGCCTCACTATCTCTTCGAGAGCAAAAAGAGAGATTCATTTCATTTTCATAGTCGTTTGTCTTCCAAAGGGTGTCACTTTCAGAATTCCAAAGATCTGAGATTCGGGCTGATCCATCTGAACACCTAGGGTTGGCAACACCCAAACTATAATTTTTGCTGAAAAGGTCATTTGATCTACTTGGAATTACATTAGAAGATTCACTGTTCCTGGCTGTCCAAATTCTGTATTCATGCTTTTATTATGAAGTTCCATCTGCATAGGCATCCCAAATTTGTTGCTCATTAGAAAACAGTTCCTATGATTCGGCTTCTTTTCAATTCCGAACCTCTTGCCTACCTGCTTCACAACAAAATTTATGGAATGAGTTAAAAACGAAAAGGTCTTAGATTCAGAATTAAACATTGGAGACTAGTGAAATCCACATTCCAAAAATCTAAAATGAAGAAATAAATGTGACAGAACAGACTAACAAAGAGAAAATTTTGTTTAGGCAAACAGTTCAAAAACTATCACTCCTTTCTATAATCAAGAAATAACTTAGGTCTCTGATTTAGTCTGATTTGTCCAACGTGGCCCCCAAATTGCATCAAGTCAAACATACAGTTATTCACTTACATCATTGCTCATTTGACACAACAACCACCTCTTGCACCATGTCTGAAATGTGAATATTTAAGCATTTCAAGAGCAGCAATGTAGCTTAAACAAGATATTTCAACCATGAAACTAGTGATGCTAGCAATGCAATACAAGCAAGGCCAAGGACTTGGTTCCAAAGATTTACCAAAGTGATGCTAGCAATGCAATACAAGCAAAGTCAAGGAGATCATACATTCATATCTTGTTCACAAAACATTCAAAAGGAGGAATTACAGCTCTTCTTGTATATGTAGATGACATCATCATCATCGGGAATGATCAAATTGAAAGAGACACTCAAAAAGTGCTTAGCAAAGGAGTTTGAAATTAAAGAACTAGGGAGGTTGAAGTATTTATTTAGGAATTGAGGTGACATACTCGAGTAAAGACATCTTTATTTCCCAAAAAAACATATGCCTTAGACTTGCTTAAAGAAACACGCAATCTTGGATGCAAGGCAGCAAGCACACCTGTAGAGCCTAACTTGAGATCGAGTGAATAAAAAGATGATAGCATAATAGATAAGGGAAGATATCAGCAATTGGTTGGGAAACTGATATACTTGTCCAAATACAAGGCCGAAATAGCATTTTTCGTAAGTGTAGTAAGCCAATTTATGCATCATCCAAGAGAGAAACACTTGCAGGCTGTCAACAAAATTCTTTCTCATCTCAAAAGAACATCAAGTAGAGGAATTTTGTTCAAGAAAGATGAAGGATTTCTCATAGAAGCATATACGGATGCTGATTATACAGGTTCTATTGTAGATCGTAGATCAACTTTAGGATATTGTACATTTCTTGGTGGGAACCTAGTGACATGGACGAGTAAGAAGCAATCGGTTGTTGCAAGATCAAGTACTGAAGCAGAGTTTGGAGCTATGGCTCAAAATAATACTTGATGACCTTAAAATCAAGTGGGAAGGACCTATGAAACTTTATTGCGACAAGAAGTATGCCATCAACATTGCACACAATCCAGTGCAACATGATCGCACAAAGCACAATGAAGTAGATAAGACACTTTATTAAAGAAAAGCTGGAAAGTGGCATGCTTTGCACTCCATATATAGCATCAAGTAATCAATTGGAAGATGTCTTCACTAAAGGAATGCCTACTTCCAACTTTGAAGACATTGCATGCAAGATGGGAACAGAAAATATCTATTCACCATCTTGAAGGGGAGTGTTGAAAATCTAGCATATCTATTTCGTACAGATTCCATGGAACGTACTATTTTAGGTTAGAATAATTTAGTTCTAATGTATTTTAGGACAGAATTATCTCCTAACTTTTGGGAGACTACAGATTCCATGTAACAGACAAAAGTCAACTTCCTTTAGTATAAATATTGTAGAGGTTAACCCTAAAAAAATATAACAGAAAAATTCAGTTCTTTTTTCAGGTATTATGATAGGGATAGGATCCTGAAGATTTTCTAGGAAGAAGATAAAAAGGAGTTCAGACTTAAATGTTGCAGACTTGCAGCTAATGTTTGTTATTATATTAAAACAAAAAACATGTAGCTTCTTCTTCCCTCCAACGCCACCTTTCTGTTTCTTTGAGAAAGGTGCAGTCCAAAGTTATCAAAGGCTCAAGGCGCATCGAGGCGCAAAGTTTCCTAGAGCCTTGAGGCGCGAAGCGCATGAAAGGCGCGAGATTCACAAAGGCGAGGCGCATGATATCCAAAAAATTGTAATACATGTATATATTAATGCAATCAAACTCAAATATCATAGATACCAATATTAGGCTTCAATAGAGTTCTCTCAAACTCAAATACCAACCTAACGTCATAAAAGCTATCAACAAGCATAATCAAGTACTAAGTTTAACAAAAGCATCCAACATGCATAAACAAAACATCAAATAAAGTCACTGATAATCATCATCAAACATCAAACGTGACACATGTCACTCACGTTTTTATTAACAGTAGAAACCTAAAAGTGTAATGGAAGAAACATTATACACTTATTTTTAATAAAAAAATTTAAACATCAAAAATTAATTTTAAATATGATTTAGACATTTAATTTTATATTTATCATTATTTAGAAAAGGTAAAATATAGAAATGTTGTTAGACGTAAATTTTTAATTACGATTAAATTAATATAAACAAATATCCACATCAACCGGTCACAAAATGTTCCACGTCATGACTTTATCCATTCCCCACAAGTACCCGCGACAACTAAAGATTTTTCTTCCCGCCAATCAAAATACGACATGTTACCATAGCTTTTGTGTTTAAAATTACTCACTAGTCACTTCCTCCTTTTCTTCACCTTCTTATTCGTACGAAGACAAACCACCGTTCAAAATCCCTCTCACCGACCTTTTTGTTCTTTGTAGAAAATGAACCCAAATAAGACAGCAGAGGACGAACAACACCCATCCATCGCTGTCGTGAACCGCCGTATCCAATGGTTGTCCCTTCACCTGACCCCACTTCCACCGCTCCAATCTTCACCCCAACTCAACATGCTAACGTACGCCAAGTCGACCAATAAACTCGAGGTCGACAAAGCCTCCCTGAAGAGCTACATGAGAGGGAAAAATAGGGAAACACAAGAGAAAATCATCGAGTTCTTCGAGTCGAGGCCCGATTTGCAAACCTCGGTGGGGATTTCGATGAAGGAACACAAGATTTTAAGCCCACATCGCGCCTCGACTAAGCCTCGCGCCTCAGAGCCTTGCTACGCCTCGCTGAGCTTAGGTGCGCCTAGGCTACGTGCCTCGCTTCAGTGTTGAAAAAGCCCCGTTTAGTGAACCTCTACGCTTTTGCGCCTTAGGCGCGCTTTTTACAACTATGGTGCAGTCCCGTACTTATTGTCGAGACGTTTCTTTGCCCGGCGACGGAGAGTGCAAATAGTACACCTAAGTGTAACTAGTCTCGAAAAGGTGAGTGTTTATCTCAGATGAAACACTAAATTGTAGAGTCGCCACCAATCTTATAATGTGGTGAGATTGGTCACCAAAATGTTATATTATTCTAATAAAATTCCTAAAAATAATATTAAAATAATACAACACAGGATCTACTTACTAGAAAAATGAGTTCGGGATTCGATTACGTGTAGGGAAGGATTAGCACCCCTACAACGCCCAAAATTGGTACCGGTGTTTATTAATTAGTGTTTTTGCAATAAATTATGAATTTGTTTTTAACTTAATTTACAAATAAATACAATAATAGGAATATCATTTCACACCAATAACCATTTTAAAATACTTCCTAATTAATTAAGAAGATATTTAATGATCTATTGTATGAAATAATATAACTTAAATACATATATATAAAATAATGATTAAAATAAGAATCAAAATTATATGTTATTATATGTAAATTATTTCATTCTTTAGGTACTAAGAATATAAATAAAATAATAATCATATAGAAATTAAAAGATATTAAAGTAGAGTAACCAAATTGTAAAATAATAAAACTATAGTCTCTAATTCAAAATATTATAAAATATATGTACTAATAATATAATTTAACCATATATAATAATACGGGATTATAATATAAATTATTAATATTTAAGGGACTAAAATGGATATTTAACCTAAATATAGGTAAATATACGGTCAGGGACTAAAATGAAACAAAATTTGAAGACAAAAATTAAATATATCAAAACCTGATTTGGTGACTAACTTGCAAAGCTTACAGAGTGCAGGGGTCACGGGTTTAATTTACCCATTCGTATAATTACATAAACACCCTCCAAAAACGACGTCGTTCGGGGAGGATATAAATGCCCTAAACAGGCCCTAAAGGGCCAAGCTTCCCTCATTTCTTCTATTCTTTCTCTCTCTAAACGAGAGAACCCTCTCAGTTCTCTCTAAAATATCCCACCAGCGGGATGGACGACCACTAGTCGGCAGCTGTTAACCGTCGCCGGCCACCACCCACAGTGGTCGAAAAATACAAAAATCACCCAAAATATAGATTGGCTTTCCCTTGTCCCAAATCCGACCTCCTTTTTACCTAAAGGCTTCCCAATAACCCTAGATCTAAATAAAACCGAGAGTTTTACCTCAGTTTCCACTTGAATCTCCGACGTTATGGCTTCCGGCGAGGTAAGTTCTTGACTTCTTCTCTCTATTTGTTGTTTGGTCGTGTTTTGCTCTCGTTATCTCCTCTGTTTCTTTCCTGTTGCTTGCTCTCTCGTTTCTGGTTGCTCTCTCTCTCTCTGTCTCTATGTGTTCGTTGTTCTTGCTCTCTTCTCTCTATTGTTGGTACTTGCTTGCAGGAACGGCTTTATATAGGCCTCGAAGATCGACCGTAATAATGATGAAATCCGGTGAGTCACCGGACCTATGGTGGTGACTCACCATAGACCGATGTGTTGTGCGGCTCTCGTGCAGCTTCTGGAGTCTTCGGGAGAGCTCTGGAGAGCCGGTGGAGGCGTGGCTTCCCTTAGTTGGAACAGCTGGAGGTGACGGCCGGAATAGGTCCTAGGGTTATGATACCCTAGGGTTTCTTCTAAATGAGATGTGGACCGTTGGATTTGCCTTTGGATTGGACGGTTGGGATCGATTGGCGGCTGGAGAAGCTGGTGGAAACCCTAGCTGGGTTTCTCGGGTCTGTTGGGCTTCTTGGGCCTGGATCGGGTCTATTGGGTTTGAACCGGTTGTAGACTGTGCCTGTAAACTGGGCCTGGACCTCCTTATTGTAATTGGGCCTTCGAGCTTTATAAATAATAATAATATTAATAATATTAATATTATATAATATATATTATAAAAACGTCACTCGGACTAAAATGACTGTCGACACTTATGATTCTTGAAATATAGAGGATATCTTAATATCTTTCACAAACCTCTGTAATAAGCATTCCTTTGGATCCTGTAGCATCAATTGTGTCATAAATCTGATGATCAATGGAAGCCCCACAAGCTGGTCAGCTATTTGAAATCTTCCCAATTTCAGCTCTTTGCCTTCAACACATCTGATCGTATTTTTCTCAAAATCCGAACGTGAATTTTTTTTAGCAAATGCAAACACCGCTTATCCTGTGAAAAATTGAAGTGTGTTAATGCATAATATTTTGAAATGAACATCTCCATGAAACAGGAAAAAGCTAGTTGAAACATTATAGACAAAACTACCTCACAGTTATATTATTAAGTATGTACTTTTTCTCCAAAAGCCTATCATGAATGATTGTAGTTATTTATCATTTATATTCTGGAAATTAGCCTTCTATTATTTTTTAAAGAGGAAGCGAGAGAGATCAAGAAACAAATATGTTTCAAGTATAAAAGAACATATGCAAGGTTTGACTTAATCCAAAATAAACATTTAAATTCGGCTTAGTTTGTACTGCAACAGAGAGAAGAAAGAAAATTATCACTTGGACTGGATTTCATTACATCAGTTGAATTGAAAGGGCTTCTTTCTGAAGCAGAATATACAAATCCAAATAACTCATTTACCAATATTCAATGAAATAAAATATCAAACAAGATTACTGTAAACCATAAATGCCTGACTACAAAAAGTGTAACATAAATGTATAAAGAAAACGGAGAATAGAATACAAAATCAAAAAGAAATATCCATGACACAAGTCATCAAACTAACCTTCCCATTCACTTTTACATTAATCTCCTCTACTACACCAGCAGTTTTCAATCTATCATATACCTGGGAAAAGTTGAAGATGAAGAAATAGATTAAAACTATTAAGAATAAATCACCAAGATAAATCTAAAACACATGCAAAAACCCTAAACAAATGAACTAACTTTCTGCCATCTATGTTTTGCCTGCCGTGACCCGACATAGCCAAGATCACGTTTAATATCTGACATGACAAGAACCTAACAGGAAAAAGGAGAATTCAAACAACATCAGTAAAAATTATTAAAAATGAAAATAAAACTACATATATCTATCTGACAGTCTTTCAAGTATAAGACATAAGTAACCTTGCCATGAGCTTCTTCAAGTTTATCACAGATTGATTTCATTAGCGGCACACTATCGTTAACAAGAATATCCTCTTCAATATGTTCTACGTTTGAATCCTCTTTGTCCACGTCCCTTCGTCTTTGGTAACCTCAAATTTCTCTTGAGATCTCAACTGCTTTGCATAACGGTATAAATGAATTAACTTTGTTGATAGGCATTGTTTACCACTTCCTCTAGTTCTCACACGTGCTTCTTGTCTTATGATTAAGCCACTTTTCTCAAGCTTCTTTACCAAATAGAAAAATCTGTTTCCTTCAATTCCAAATTCCTTGCTAAGTTGGCTTTGAGTTATTCCATTCGTCCTACAAGCACACAGTTAAAACACCAATAACAACAATAAAAAGAAGACAATATCAACTCAACCAAAAGAAGAAGAAGAAGAAGAAGACAAAATAAAAAATTCCATCTCAAAAATAAAGGTTTCAATATTGTCCATATCATGTACTCCGCCCATTCGGATAAGTTTAATCTTTCGATTTTGAATATTTAAAATAAAACACAATTAACAACATTATTTTAATGATTAAATTGATTTTCAGCCTTTTATTTTCGAAAAAGAAATACAAATAAAACAGCACCCAAACAAAACCTATGCTAATAACCAAATTACTCCAAAATAAATCTCTCTTTCTCAAACAAACGGAAATGAAATTAAGAAAAAAAATTAAAAATAAAAAAGGAAAGGAATAAGATGAGCAACATTAAAACTAACCTAGCACTGGCAATACGTTCAAGAACGAGAGGCTGTTGATGGAACTCTTTTTCTTCACCTCCCAAAGAGAAATCATAAATGCCTAAAAAATTATCGCACAATTTTTCCTTAGCAACAACATTCAAATCCAGCTTTTCCGCATCGTCAAACGGCTGAATCAAACGATCATTGCTATCGTAAACACGATTCCGCTTCCGAAACTGAAGCGCTGGAATCTGAAGTAGGTTTTCCCACAGGACCCGTTTAATTTCGACGCTCGAAGCGAGTTTTGAGCAGAGAGAAGATAAAGCAACGCCGTCGCGACCTGTCGAACAGATTTCTTCGACAGCTGATGATATGATGGAATCCATTGATTGAAATCTTCGTCTTCGATCGGATAGTTTCTGTTCACTAGTAGAATTTAAGAGCGGCCATGGCGGGAAGCGAAAGCAGCGTGGGAGAAAAAAACAGTAGTGGAAGAATGCAGTTAAAAAAGAAGAGTATCAGAACAGTTACAACAAGTACGAACTTAACTCCAGCTCAAACTCTCAAAGCAGAGTACGAGGGTTAAGGTCACTTAAAACTTTGGAATTAATTACAATTAAAGTCCCCAAATTAGTGTTAAGATTATAAATTAGTCATGAACCTTAATTTTTTCTAATCAAATCTTCAGAATATCATTATATCGATATCGTATAGTTTTCGGCGGCCTAATTGTTAATTTGCACCTTAATATTTATATTTTTTTATTTGATCCCTTCTCTTTAAAAGTGCATAAAAGTTCTGTACAAATTGAAAAGATTTTTATATTTTATTTATAAATTTTAATTATTTTTAAATTCAAAATTATAAAAGAGAAACTCTTTGAAATTTAAAAATAATATCCATTCTAAGAAAAACAAGTACGGTAAACTATATAAATGGTCATTAATGTTTGAGTGAGCTTTCGTTTTCCTCACTAAAGTTTCAAAAGTAACAAATTGACCATTAACGTTATCGATTTGTAGCAAAATGGTAACTTCATCATCATCCCGTGAAATTGATGACATGACAACATTAACAAAATGGTTAATATGTAGTTTTAGCCCTAAAATAATGCTAAAATATCAAATAAGTCCTTAAACATTAATTTTATATTTAATTTATCTAAAAAATTCTAATTTTTACATTTTTTTCAAACACCCCATTGTTTACACTATTTTCGACAATTGGTTTTAGGGTTATCAAAATAGTTTCAAGAAATGTTGCAGCTATAGGGTCGCTCTCACGCAAAATTGGCCTATTAGACCAGGTGGTATATTTAATTGGCTCATTATGCCACCTAGATTTTTATTTTGCAATTTACGGTAAATGATATAGTGCAGAGCAAACTCTTTATGTCAGAGTGCTGAATTTGCCCAAATAATAATTTAAAATGGTCCCAAGTAAGTGAGTCTCTTGGGATTCAATATTATAATATATTTCCTCGAATTTGTCACTTCGACGTGTCAAATCTTCTAATTTTTTTTTCAAAATTCAGTAATTAGTTTTAAAATTATAATAAATTTAAAAAATCATCAAATTCGTGACGTCGACATGACGGATTTCTTTGGAATTTAAAATCAACTAGTCATTTATAACCGTTTGACAAATGACAGAAGCAACAGTCATATTGAAACTCGTCACTTGATGTGACAAGTTCCATGGGATTCTTAAAAATTATAAATGTTTATTGCTGTTGGATTTGAGGTTAGAAATAAGGTTTAGGGTTTATGATTTTTATTGTGTCTTGTTAAGAAGGAAAAAATTAATCTTAAGAATTTTTTTATAAGAAATACTCAAAATGTATACCCGAGATGAAGTGTTAAGCCTTGATGCTATATATATTTCCTCATTTGAACTCACTTAGGAAGAAGAATGGGGTATTCGTCAACTATGAATAATGCTTAAAGATTCACATGAGCCGATTATTATATATCTACAACAATTCAGCACTATTTGAACGTTAGAGGCCCAAAACGCATACTTTTCATTTTATGAGTTGTGAAGCGACGATTACGTTGGAATATGTCGCTTGCCAACTCGATGCTCTGATTAATGGTGCGGTACTAGTGATGCACAACAATTACAACCGATTTGATACTGTTGAGGAATCTTTGGTAAAGATATCATCACCAAATGTCTTAGATGGGATGTAGATATGAATAACTTGATTGGAGTCTGAATTTCAAGTGAATCAAAATTCTGCTGAGTATGAGGTCAAATTTGCAGCCCAATCGTATCTTCTCCAATTGATTGGAGGGATATTGCTACCAAATAAATCTGGAATTTGGCGTACACCTCAATATCTTCTGAAATTGAATAATTTCACTGAGTATCATAACACTAGTTGGGGGCTCAACGATTTTGTTATTTTTATACAAGGAACTTTATAAGTTGCAATCGTTGAAAGGGGTCAAGAAACCGATGTTGTGGGTTGTCTAGTCTTGTCACATTCCTGGGCGTGGTATCAATTCTCCTTTTTTAGCCAATTGCATCAGCCCCTGTTGAGTTTCCTCCGGTTGGAAGATAACTTTTTTAACTTTATTTTTTACTAAATTTTTGAATTTATATTTTATCTTTATTTTTTAATTTTATTAATTATATTATTTAGATGGCAATATAAAACTACCGAGGGCAAGTTGTCGGGTGCAATAAAAATTGATATACGAATAAGGATTAATATCATCGATCAAAACATGCGGTAAATATTATTTTAGTAAATTATTTAATTTTTTCTATTTATAATTTATACTAATTTTTATAATTTAATCAATGTTTACAGTTTAGTAAATTAATACACGTGGAAAGCATAAAGAGAATTCGTCAAAGAAACATGATGTATATATTCAACAATAGAATGAGCGTCATCTATTTGTGTCTATGCGTTTTAATATTACACCTGTTGATATTGATTTTGACATATCTCCCTCCCTTCGAAATTCTAAAACAAATGGAATATCATATTTAACAACATCGTGAGAAGGTCGAATGGAAAGAAATGAGGCCAAATACGAAAGGACAAGAAATGATCATCATTAGCATCTTCTTCTGCTTCTACATAATATTTTTGCATTTCAGGCCAATTATGATTTTTATCCTTCATATCATATTTCAATGGAGAGTCAGTCGAATTTAGTTGGAGGTTCATGGGATATAATGCAAGGCACTCAACCATCTTTAACAGAACTTGTAAGTGAATGAGATCATATTATATATGATAAACCATGTACTGATTTTTGGTGGGCAATTCAAATCAATGACGTAAATGTTGACGTCAAATACCTTAAATACTACATCACTATATTTCGAAGGTAGACTCAAAGTGAAGTGATGTTCAGTACACCTCCTGTTGAAGACGAAGCAGATGAAAATGAAGATGATCAAGGCAGACAACCACAACGAAATCGACGAGCCCCACGCCATTATCATTCAACCACTCCTCGAAATCGTCAAAAATTATGAAAATATAAGTAAATTTTTTAGTGACTGTATTAGCTTAAAAAACTTTTCATTATTATTTTGTAATAAATTGTTTATTAATAATTTTAATTATTTTTTAAAAATCGACAAAACTTATCACGTCGACGTAACAAGTTCCAACGGCTATATTTTTTAAAATTTTAAAAGTTGTCCATTGACCAACGGATTTTTTTTTAAAAAAAATCACTTGGAACACTAATCCCACTATTTTTAATTAGTTTAAATTAAAAAATAATTGATTTTTTCAAAAAATATATATATTTACGGGAATCGTCACGTAAATTATTGGATCCCGCAGTCTCACTTACCTGAATCGATTTAAAAAAAAATTGGGTATATTGATCAAGTAGACAGGATGAGTTTTCCCTGTACAGTAATATTTGCCTTTGATTGTAAACTACAAATATAAGGGACCTAATGACCCAATTAAATATATCACCTAGCCTAATGGATCAATTTTGCCGTTACTCTCGAATTCTCCTTATAATTGTATTCGGTGCTAAGATTTCCCTTTAACTAGAGATACACTATTAGCGTCGATTTTCTTAAAAATTGTCAATTACTTTTAAGTGATGTGAATATTTTTTTAATAATTTGAGATAGTTGTATTTTTAAAGTAGTATTAATTTTAATATTAATATTTATCTTAATCACTTGACATTGAAATATACCCATGGTGTTTGACATTTCTGATGTTCGAATTTAAAACCTCAACGAGTATCAATAATTTTTACCATCGAGATGGCTTTGTATATACAAATATTGATATTTTTATTGTGACATAAGATAATCATGAAGATGCATACGAGAATGATATGATTATTTTTTCAACTATGGTGTTTATTATAGTATTTGATGGAAATTTGAATCATATTATGACATTTGAAAGATATTTGGATCACTCGATGATTTTGAGAAATCATATATATATATCTTTCTGAGACTTCATACATGCAAAATTGTAAGAATAACTCCGTAAATCATCAAATAATATGAACATTTTTTTATAAATGATCCAAAAAACTTACATATGATACTGTAAAAAATTCGACACGTTATTAAGAATATAAACTTTTTTTTACCTTATATGACCTAAAAAAATTCTAACACATTATCAAAAACAATTTTACGCTCTAAATTGTTTAAAAGTGTCGGAATCGTCTTTCGGTTGGGCCTCGGAATTGGGCTTCGACTTGGATTAAACGAATTGGAGTCGCCACCGATCACTTTAAAAATATTTAGGTGGATCGGACACCATTTAACTTGATCTGCGTTGTACCAGAAACGTGTCGGGTTCGGGAGTCGGTTACGGTCAAGGAATGATTAGCACCCTTGAACCGCCCTTTCGGTACCAATTAATTTGTTGGTTGTCTTTATTTGCGAAAATTAAAAACATTTAAATTAAAATTTATAAATTCGGTTCGAATTGCTTACCTTTGATCGACTGAAATTATCAATGTAAGTGTCGAAAAATGTTAGATGGTAAAATAAAAATAAATACGAGGGTAGCAAAGGGAAATATATATATATCTACAAATATAAAAATAATAAAACAAAATATATGACAAAATAAACAAAAGTTAGTAAAAAAGATAATAGAAAATAATAAAATAATAATAAAATAAAGTAAAATAATAATAATATAAAAAAAGGTTAGCTAAAAAATAAATAAATAAACACATAAGAATAAAAATGAAAATAAAATAAATAAATAAATAGTATAATATAATAGTAAGAAATAAAAAACCAAAAATAAAGAAATATAGAAAAATAAATAGAAAAATATAACTATATATATATATATATAAAAGAGATGTTAAAAGGGAAATAAAAATGAAAAAGAGGTTTTCAAAAAATAATTATTATTATAATAATAAATAAAACAATACTAAATAAAACAATCTAAATTAGGACTAAAATAATTGAAATCTAAATCTAAGGATTCAATTTAAAATTAAAGTTCTAGGACCAAAATGAATTGTATGCATAATATAGTGCCAAACTTAAAGGAAAAA